TCGAAGATCTATTTTTATCTTTGTTGATTAGATAAATGACAGGTTCAATTAAACATCAATCAGAACTTTGAATAGATATGGTAAGGATACCCTTAATCATCGATAAAGAAACTGTCTTTTGATCTAATTAACAAATTATCAATTAATTTAAGCAAACATTAATGCCCCAAAGTCTAGAATAAACGAATTTGAACAGACCGACAGTAATGCGAACAGGGCACCATCTATCATAAAAAGTCCTATGTAAAGTAGGTGACTGTAGCATCGATGCAAAACCAGTAAATAGTGATTTTCCGATATGGTAGATGGCGCTGGCTTGGCTCAATTTTGTTGACAACAAAATTTACACTGAGATTCCATTCTCGACAGTTTACATAGTATTTATCTCTGCTTAAAATGCAACAAAATACAGAAGAAAAAGAGGGTTGCATCGATCCCTTGAAAAATATACATGAGGCGGCCAATCGGGCTACCTCAGTTGTTCAAATTTCACCATTAATATCAATGTAAATAACTAAAAATACAAACTTTTTTTGACGTTCGCTCTCAAAATTTGATGTTTCATTTTTAACACTAGTGCTATAAAGACTTTATGGCACTAGTGCGATAAAGTAACATTTTTAATGCTTCGGGGGGTGTTAAAAATTGCATTTTTAACACGTTTGTAGAAAAAAAATATTAAGTTAAGCAAAAAAAGTACGTTGGGGCACATTGAACAAAACATGGAGGGCACATTTGAACACTATGCAGTAAACTTTTTACTCAAAAATGGATATGTTTAAGGCGATATTGCAAGGTGGGTGTTATTTTCAGATGCAAAATGGTTCGTAACTACAATAGAAACACACCAGAGCCTATTTACAGAACAGGATGTGGAAGCCGCGATTAGGGCTGTACGTGATCAGAATACGACTTTACGTGCAGCAGCTGCATATTATGGCATGTTACACACAGGTCTATTTTATCGCCCCCAGAAGATGGAGGGAACGGTTACTTCTTCAATAAAACAGAATTTCCATTCCAAATTTTCCATCCAACAGGTATTTTCCAGAGAACAAAAATAAGCATTAGTTAAATATGCGATTAATTCATCAAAAATGTGCTATGGTCTTACCTACAAACAGATGAGAGTTCTTGCTTACGACTATGCAGTAAAATTAGATTTAAAAATGCCGAACAGTTGGATTGAAAAACAGTTAGCTGGAGAAGACCGGCTCTACAGCTTTATGCAACGACATCGAAATCATAGTATTCGCAAACCGGAACATACTTGACTTTCGCGGTTGACTTCATTTAACAAAACAAATGTGGGAGCATTTTTCAATAACTACGAAAGGACCCCAAAATCTAAAAATTTTACAGTTTTACATTAATTAAACATTTTCGTAACATGTTCCATTTCTTCTAATTTCCATTATAAATTTCTATTTTCGCCATTTCAGAATCAGCAAAATAATAATTCATAACTTAAGTGATTTGCGAAGTATCTAATAAATTTGATTGATTCAATATAATATCAGTATTGCCATCTATCCATAAATAAGATTGAGCATAACTAACGTACCGCCATCTAGTACCTAATAAATTTATTTCAAAATTGTGGTAAGTTTCTTCATTGATATTTTTATTTGGAGAAATTATGTTTATTCTACTTTCAGCAAATACATTTACTTCTGTCTTTCTCTAACTTCTTATTCTGAAATGATTATTTTTACCTTGATGACCTAATTAATTAGTGGTTTTGTGCTTCTAACATATCCTTAAATCTTATCATTTTAATTTGTAAACAATTAAAACACATATTGTAATAAGTTCAATGTTATAGGATCCAGGGCAACCTTGTTATTTAGTAGATATAACCCTCAAATATCACGTAAAGATATTTGACGTAGGTGAAGACTCGTAGGTTAGTAGTTGTAAATAGTAATTATTTATTATAAGATAATGGGGTAGTATACTATGTATAAAAATCAGTGAAAAAACTGCTCGACATTATTCTATAGGCTAAATGGTGATGGTATAGTGGGATACTAAATTATTTTCCAGCATAGTGTCTATAGAATTAGTCAGAGAAAAACAAACTGTAATTTGAATTTAGCGCCACAGCGGCGACCAATAGTATTCATGCCGCTGACCATCTGGCAACGCTGCTCAAAATGACAGCTGACTTCAACAGTTCAACGACGTGTGGTGTCGTGTGAATCGTGTGATATGTGACATTGTCATAGACTTGTTTACGTTGTTTGATGTAGTAAATTTGATGTTTCGTTCTTGACGGTCAATGTCAGTGCAAATTGTGCGTTCTCAAAACCGTGGTGTGTTGCCAGATTGGAAAAACTAACTACGTCACGAACTTTTATTTTCACGTAGGGGCGGGGCTAAGGGGAAATTTTAAAAATAAATTTCCAGGCTATTGCGGTTTTTACAAAGCAACTGATTACACTAAATAGTACGATACGTCGAGTATATCACTAGGTGGTAGTTAAAAATCACTTGTAAACTACCCCATTGTGCTTAAAATTAGAAACATCTTGCCTTCATGTAAACTGTATCAATTTAAATAAGTTAGTTCAATAAAGACTTTTGATAGAACTGGTTTCTTAACTTCTTGGCATGTAGTTGATACTGGCGAACCTTAACTCAAGATATCCAAGTATATCACAACCATTTGGTTCAGATAGGGCTTCTAGCTGGGATATTTAGACAAAGTGTGCAGGTATTGACCGACTTTCATAAAAATATTTACCAAGGTTAGTCTTCCGTGCCTGTTTTTGGCGAAATAAATAGTTGAATGACAGTTGAGGTTATGTGTTGTTTTCTATCTTGTGAGTTTATAATAGTATATTACATACCGAGTAGGGAAGTGTTTCATTACTGTCGAGAGATTGACTATTAATCTCGAGACAGAAATGAAAACTTTCACTTATCACCATAATATTTCCAATTAAAAAAAAAATAGAAAATTCGAGCCACGCAAAGCTGGATTACTTCTGGCATAAAGACTTCAAGTATGAAGAAAGGGTTACTGTTTTTTGAAAACGGTATATTAAGTAAAGACCAGTAGCGTAGCCAGTAGGGGATGAAGGAGCGACGCTCTCCCTTCCGCTCCTGCATGTATGGCGCCACTACCGCTTCAGGAAAACAAACGCAAAAATTGAGAAATAATAAAATTATGCCGTTTTCTATTTAATTTATTGACCTCTTCAACCCTTATTCTTTATCGTAAATCGGCATTGTCGGCAAATGGTTCAGTTCAATCAATTCAATACCTTTATACAAACATTAACTGAAAGGTTCGATTTCTTCATTATTGCAATTAGGCTCATATTTTTAGATACTGAATTTTTGACGATGCCAGTAACGAAAAATAATAATGATTGTTTGATGGAACTTGCAGAATTTTATACCTAACACTAATGTAAACTTTAGTTTATTGATTAAGAAATAGAAATCGTTTTTCTCGGTTCATGAACAATTGAAAGATGACGGAATCAATCTCAGAACTGATGAAGTAATTCCCTATCTTATCTCTAACAAGCCTATAACAATTAGCACAAACAGTCCCAATGCGGAAAGATCATTTAATAGACTAAAAAATATTAAAACATATAACAGATCAACTATGACCGAGAAAAGATTAAATGATATAGGTATTTTAAATATAGAGAATGATTGTGTAAATAATCTTGATTTGTCTCCAATCTTGGATAAATTTGAAAGTAATAAAGCACCTAGATTAGTTATATTTGATTTATTGTGGTATGGTATTAGATTAGTCCACAGTACATCGCTTCTTTTTTTACGATTAACATTAACACACGTCTGAAACTACGTGAGTGGTTTTATTTTAACGTAACCGACAACTTTTTATCTATTAAACTTTTTGGAAATGGGCCATTTGCATTCTGGAAAGCGTTAAACGTGTCAATTTAATGAGGTATTGAAAAGGTATGAACAACCATTAAATTTCCACTTGAATCGAGAGATAATTTCATATAAAAAGTGAAATAAAATTTGGCCTACAAAAATAATGGTCCGTTTTGCGAGACCTCCACCGCAAAGATGTCAAAATAACGTATTTAAGAATATTTATCAACACCCAGTATCGGTCAGCTATTTAATGAATTTAATTAGAATCCAATGGCCATACTGGCTTAAAATTTTTATGGGCAGTTTTTTCAGACCTACGACTGAAACATGTCAATATCACAGTTGTATCGTTCTTGAAATGTACTGTGGGATTGCAAAAACCTATTTTACAAAGATAGGAATAAGAGACGTGACGTCTTGATGGAAATTGCTCAGGAGTCCGAGATTGAGAATAAAATTCGCTATTTGCAAAGTCACGTCAGCAGAGAATTAAAAAAGGTAAAAACTTGCAAATCCGGCGATTGATTAGAGGATGTTTATACAAGTAAATGGTTTACCTTTAAAACGAATAGATATTTTTCATAGATAACTTTGAGCTAAGTTTAAAAGCTGTTTTGCTACATGACGGAAATACTCAACCTTGGATTCCTATTGTATTCCTGTACGCCCTGATTGTCGTAGCCTATGCATTAGAATTCCATTTGATTGCAGGTGGATTAATAGAGAGAGCATCTAATCCAGCTGCAAGCTAATGTACGGGCTACGTAAATCACCCTGTATACAATTTCATCTACTCAATACGAATTTAGAGAAGTGTCCAAAATTGTGTCTAGTATTCTAGCAATACCAATTAGCAATGCTTTCGTCGATGGGCTATTTTCATTAATAGGAAATATTTGGACGAACGAAAGAAATAGACTTTGAACTATTTAGTTAAGGGAGAAATTTGTACTAAAATGAATTTCAATGAGTTGCTCTGATTTTTTGAAGTTTTTGAAAAATTAAAATCAAATTATTCTCTCGAAGTGTGCAATGAGTACAATAAATACTGATTTAAAAATTAGAAATTTGATTTCTTAGATTTTTGAAATATTTGTAATTTTTTTTTTTTTAGTTCGTATTTTTTTTAGTTACCCAATGTAAGGGGTAGTGTAAAAGACAAGGTATCCAGAAAGGCTGGAGGTATTACCGGCGTGCCGAATTTATTGTACGGAATGCACCGAAAGACGCTACCATCCGAAAATTGATTCGAATCTTCGAGAATACCGGTTCGAGTGTGAAAATTCACAATCCGCCCACGCTCTGTTCGAACCCAACAAGCGATTGAACAAGTGAGAGTTTCAGTGCGTCAAAATCCTTCTCAATCAATTCTCAAACGAAGTCAAGGAGTTGACATTAAAAAATGGTCGTTGCACAACATTTCGAATAGAAAGATTTACATCTTACAGCCTACAAAGTTCAGGTCGTTCAGGAACTGAAAAGTACCGACTATCCTCTCCGACTAAATTTTGCGCTTACCAACGTTTGAAAACATTCTGTTTAGTTGTTTCGTGGGTTATGGTATAAGCAAGAAAATACTAATTATTCTTTAGGACGTTTCGGTGCTGTATTGCGCCTTTCTCAACCTTATTATAACAAAACACACTGTTATCAATCATATTATGCGAAGAAATGGAAAGCTTAACCACTTACGTTAAAAAATTAAGTCAAAAAGCCTGGCTTATTTTATTTTTTGGTGTGGGTGTGAACCATCTCAAAGTAAGAATGCTATTATACATCTCCCAATCGTGCAGCACTAGGTGATTGTTGTAATTATTTTATAATTATTATTGACAATCATCCGCGATTTTTTAAAATTCTTTGTTTATATGAAAAGTTTGGTTATGGAAAACAATTAAGCTGCATTCACACAACAACAGTAGGGCGCACATGCACATCGTGTACGGCGATCAACCACGTCATAATACAGTGCTACATCCTAAATTACCACCACAACAATAGGAATATTCAAATAAAAAAAATCCGTTTAACCATCATCAAATTATTAAGCATCGTTTCATAAGTAAATCTACAAAATTTTACGAAAATCAGAAAATTCTTTCTATGAGAAAAACGGAGACGAAACGCTGTCTGACGTCACAATGCGTAATGAGTTTTCACGCGCAAGTACAGTGGCGTTACTAGCTACTTGGATCAGCCTCTTGTGACGTTGCTGTTGCGATTTTTGTTGGCAATGAAGAATGTTGATATTAATATTATTGTTATTATTATTATTATGGTTCGGTTTTAAAGGGGGTGTGCGCCAAAAAAACAACTTCATCTCAAAAAAAAGAGAAAAAAAATCTAAGAATAACAGTGAAATCTGCACCTCTCTATGACAAATAATACCGCAGATATGGCTCTATGAATGTACCGCATCTCACCCTATGACGTCACGAAAGCTCAAGCGACGCACGAGAAAGTGGAGTTAATTAAATTTACATATGTTTTTTCTGTGTTACCTGCAATAATCTAAACAAAAACCACTCACGCGTGCCGGGAACAATCAAATTAACAATGCGGAGCGCGTCTGGACGAAGTTCTCGTGACGTCATGAGAGCGTCGTCCACACTTTAAAGCGGTATATCTCAGCGATGGTTTATCGTAGAATAACGAGGTTTGAACAGTTATTCTTAGATTTTTTTACACTAAAACTTTAATTTTTGGCGCACACCCCCTTTAATTTAACGAGAGAGTCTGTTTAACGTTTAACAAGTATTTTGATATTGCTGCTATCTCCTTCATGTCGATCTCTGTGTTATAGGGTTTATCGAAATTAAGGTAGAAAAGGTACTATGGCTGAAATGAAGGAAGGTTTACAAAAGGCCGATTCACATAATCTGCCTTAACTGTAGACGTTATCTGATATATAGTTATTTACCTGTAACAAGGGCGGAAAGTTATGATTTCCCGCACGCAACGGCATTTGCACGAACGACGAGCCAGCGGAATTCGTGCAACCCGCAAGTGCGGAAATCATACTTTATGCTCGTGCCAGACCCATTTTTTCTATGAGCGTGTGAAAAACGCGTCTTCACGCAACAATTTGCGTGCGGAAAGTAGCACATTTTCGCACCTCGTAGAAAAATACGCACGTAGATACCACTCTTTTCGACTCGGTTCAACTTTGTATGTGTCTCCCATCATTACACAAACATAAATAATTGGAGTGAATGAAGCTTATTGGGATAAAGCAACAGTCAGCAACACAATAAATCCAATGTAAACCTGTAAACAAATCTCGTCAACGCGCCCGCTGATTTTCCGCTCCGCACAGTGACGTCACAAGCGGTACTCTCGCCGCAGGGGGTCCTTTTGCTAGCCTCGCTAATTCCTTTTTGTGTTTTCGATTTATCAGAAAAAATAAAGGGTTTCTAGATGTTTCAACGCTTAATATGTGTTTTGTGGACCTAAAACCACCACTTTTTCTAACAATTGAAAAATAGTGAACATCCTTATTACGAGACGTTCACCAAATTAAATTACAATGAAAATATGAAGAATCAAAAAATAAATAAAAATGAATATAAACAAGACATTATCACTTTTACCAACACAAAATTGCCATTAGTTAATGATCTTGAAAAATATAATATATAAAAATTTCTTTCTTTAAAGGTATTAAAAACTGCTATTGGACTAACGACATTACAAACAGATTAAAAAATATGAAATATTGAAACAATTTACAGCTAAAATTAACAATTAGGCAATCCAAACCACGTGACTTTTTTTGTCGGATTGTTGGCACACAAAAGATTTTCTTGGTTCAATATTGTGCCATTTTCTTTGTAAACTGCGTATTTTGCCGCTCATTGCTTAATTTTGTGAGTTCTGAGACCTAAATTATTTTATTTGAATGTATATACACATTTTTAAAGACATTGAAAATATTTTCACGAGTTGAAACTTTCATTTCTATTGAAATATAGCTTTCAGAGAAAGTCCATATTTGTACGAGTTGCGGACAAGCTGTCCTGAGGCCGCTCTTGGATTTGCTAGTGTTCCCCCAATAACTTCAATGGATATTATTAGCTATATTGTTCTAACGCATAGCTTTTACACCAATGCACAAATGCGGGCCTATAAGAGGCTAGCTGCTTACAAAATTTAATGATAATAATGTCAACTCACTCACAATAATTTGGAAACATTTTGAAAGGAAATTTGTAAAAAGCTGGAATTATGTTAAAATCCCCAACGTCGAAAGTAAACACAGACGATGAGTGATGACACAAGAAATTAATGACGTTTTCCATTTGTCAATTAATGAGCACTGAGTGTATCCGCATCTTTTTCTAAAAACATGTAAAGCCGGGCTCAAACGACTCGTGTACTTGGCGAATAATCGTTACTTGCGTATACTTGCCATGTCGTGTGAGTAGGTTACTTGTACAATTATTTGTCACTCGTTGGTTTTCCATTTCTTGTCGGTAAAAATGTCCCGAGTCAAAGGGATCACGATTATTCGTACACTTGCCAAGTTCATACTTGTAGAGGCGCTCAAACGAAATGCACAAATAATTGGCTTTTATTGTGACTATTTTATTTAGTTTTCGACGAGCATCAAGGTTTAGCCAAATGTTCGCGCTCGCGTACTTGTAAATTGAATACGTCGTGTGAGCGCCCTGCTTGTCATCGCAATTCGCAAAGCTAGTATACTTTCCAAGTACGCGAATAATTGTGCATTCGCCAAGTATACGAGTCGTCTGAGCCCGGCTTAACATTTAAGGATAAGGATATATTTTTTTTTTGCACTGGTTCGACAAATGGAAGACGCTATTAGGGTTATGGGCATATGTGTGCCAACCTTAGAGCAGGAAAGCGCTGTCCTACGGACATAAGGAGTAGGAACGCGCCATTCTGCTTATGAAACTAAAGTGAAGCCAAATTTTTGGCAGGTGTTTAGCACCAAGATACAGGTAAAGCATTGAATTGCCATAAGCGCCATTTTCTTGGTGCCAAAATACCTGGAAAAAAACGGCTTCATTTTCCAAATCCAGGTTACTACTCCTCTTTACCTTTACCTGCCTAACGTGCCAACAGTCGGCCATATTTGACACATCGTTGGATTGCCTAATTAGTAAATCACAGGTACATACATGCTATAGGTTTTTTACGTTATATTTAGGATGACGTCATAGAACAAAAAGAGACAATGTTGTCAATGCCTATTTTTTTTCTTATAATTTATCAGAATGTCACGTGAAAGTAGACGTATCTATTTTACCAACCAAAGAGGTAATAATACAAAAACTTCATTAGATAGAAAAAGACACAGAACGCTTATTGCGCAAGACGAGGCAAAATGTAGCAAATTTTGTTAAACTTGAATGTGAAGTTTTAGAAAAATTGGAGGTGTCAAAAGTACATAATAAAGTGCTAGAAACATCTAGGTATAATAAATATGAAAATAAATATGTATTTAGAAAAAATAAAGGTGAAAGCCAAAGTTATTCAGCAGTAGAAAATAATTATTCGGATAGTAGTTTTAAGTGCTACTATTGTAAGGAGTCACATAGTATATTTAAATGTAGTTCATTTTTACAATTATCTGTGAATGATCGTATAAGTGAAGTGAAGCGGCTGAAATTGTGCTTAAATTGCTTGAGGAATTCTCATCCCTCCTGGAAATGCCAAAAACTTAAATGTAGAAAGTGTAATAAAGCACATAATTTATTATTGCATTCAGATTCATATAATAATAAAAATTCTATGCCAACCGGTGATAGAACAAATTTCGCCCAAAAAAACTCGACCTCAGAATCGTCAGAAGTTGGAAACAGCAGCGTCACTTCCAGTCTCGGACAAACATTTATTCTGTGAACTCACATGTTGCAGGAAGCGGCCATGCTGGCACTAACTATTTGGCACATTCAGTGGAAGCTTCTGCAGCGTCAGGAAATTCGCAAGTTTTGTTGTCTACAGCGATGATTCAAGTAACCAATGGAAGACATAAAGTGACGGCAAGAACATTGCTAGATAGTGGCTCTCAGAGTAATTTTTTGTCCCTAGAAATATGTAAAAAATTGAACTTAAAACAATCAAAAATAAATCATGCAATAAAGGGTGTAGGTCAAACGTTGACCAATATCAATTATCAAGTAAATGTAACTATTGAATCTTGTATAAGCAATTTTAAGAGTAAGTTAAGCTGTTTGGTACTTCCATCGATCACAGAAAAATTACCTATAATGTCATTTAATAA